ATGTATCAGAAGTGCAACAGATGTAAGCACTCAAGGATGTGTAGTTTCAGCCTTGACCTCCAGATGTACCACATTTATGCCCCTATAATCTCTCAAGCACAATCAAGGTAACCGGATGGCACATATCGCAAAGATAATCCTCCTAATCTTCCTTGCCTGGCTGAGTAAAACAGGAAAAGGACACAAATCAATATAAAGTTGCACTGTGAAAAAAATAACAGTTCCTTGAATCCACTTCAAATGGATTTGTAAAACCATGGAGCCAGACAGCTGCTACAGCTCAGGTTCACTGGCTACTGCCATGACACTGCCTGGGGAAGGAATACTTCTCCTGCATCAAATGCCACTGCCACCTGCATTTCTACTTTGTTCTCCTTTATTCTTTGTTCAACAGCCATTCCAATGGACTTTCACAAGAACGGAAAAGTTGTCCTGCTGCAGCTGCAAACTGCTCTTCTGCCTGGTACACGGGAACAACCTCAGCCAAAGCCTCCCAGGGTGGTAAGTGGCAGAGGTAGTGAAGGAGCTTTCCATGTGGAAAAACAGTTATTGAGAGACTAAAAGCCTTGCTAAATGCACTGTCATAGACTCAATAGTTTGCAATGCAGCCATCATGCAGCCAAATGCTCAAGGGAACTTAGCTGGCAAAAGGGCTGCAGGAATCTTCTTCTACCATTTCTGCTGTTAAGGAATGGACCCATTTAAGGATAGTCTTACATCTTGTTGAATGATACAGAAAAATGGAAGTAAGCCTATGGTTAAAGCAGTGATGTATACCTCAGACTGAGGCAAGGAAGAGGTGGGCCTGTTTTAAGGTGACCAGGTGATAATCAAAAAGAATAGATGGATCTGATAAAAGGTATGTATGGAAGATTCATATTAGCATGAAGAAATTACAGACTTTAACCTGTTTCTAAGGCAATAGGATTTTTTTCTGCTTTTATTTTTATTTGTTGCCCACCTATAATTACTTTTATCTTGGTTACCTGAAAAATTTTACATTATTGCCTATTTCACAAGATTGAAAACACATACTGAGCTAAAATAGATGAAAGAAGTTTTTTCCACACCATATCTTTTCAAAACTAAACTTTTTGAATTTCATTAGGATACAACAGACAATAGAGCTCTCGCATCATTAAGATTTTGTAGCTGGCATGAACAAATGCAGAATCAATCAATGCCTTCTATCAGTTCATGAAAGGAGATCACTATCATTGGAGTTTATTTAACAGATGTGGGAGGGGAACTCAGAATAATTCAGTTCTCCCAAACTGCAATAGCAAAACTGTCATAATTTGTAGCAGATTACTTGGTTTGGTCAGGAATTTTGTTAACAAAGTTTTTTTTGCTTAAACTCCCGATATGAACTAGTTCCCAGTTTTATTGTTACACACATTGGCATATGACTCAAAATCGTGAATAAGGACCAGACCCAATGTACTCCACTCTCTCCACACTGCACTTCTCAAGGCAAGGGCAGTGACAGCTGCAGGAAAGTTCATACAGTGCAAGTGTGCTGACACTAGATGGGGCTTCAGCTTGTGCCCCTGGGCACACTTGCTCTTTCTGCAGTGGCAGCTGAACCACTGCTCCAGGATCAAAATAGCCCAAAGAGGATTCCTGGGTCCCACTGGAACACTCCTGCATGCCTAACAAGCCAGCTTGACACACAAATGCAATCCTGTTGCTCTTAGCTTGATTTTGGTATTGCCTTCCTACAAGTTACTAGCTTCTGAACTAGTTTTAGCAGCACAGAACCAGCAATCTTGGTAAAATGGAATATAGTAAAAAAGCAAAAACCAATTCATTTTTAAAAGAATAGAGTGAAAATTCCTCTTCTGTTTTGGTCCTCTTCTGTTTTGGGGAGCATAGAGGCAACCTTTAATTTGGTCTTACCAGCCTTTGCCACCACCCTACCTGAGAGCAGCCAGCACTTGACTCCTGTCAAATGCAGGAGACAGCTGTGTGATTCCATGCAATGTCAGTAATATGCTATTAAAAAAAATACATAAATCTACCAATGGCACAGAAAAAAGCTTAAAAAAATTATCTGAATCCTGCTCCTTAGATATCCCCCAATGGCTCTGCTCTCTCTGTACATGTACAGAGCTACGATGTGTTACAAAAAGGTGATCTCAGTGGCTCTGTGGAGTTGGAGCCTAGAAACTTAGCAGAGGTAAACCTTGGATGGAAGCTGCTTTTAGCAGCCTTTCTAGGTTTTCCTTTGGGGGTACATTTGGTCAAGTACAAACACAAATGCAAATTAAAACTATATAAAGCAACTGAATAATTTTTTTGCAGATTTTCAACCTCTTCATATTGAAAGGAAAATGAGACATCAATAACATTTTCTAACTACTCAGTCTTAAAATGCTCATTCTACCTCCATATGTAAAATCACTGTGAAACACATCTGTGCAGTGAAAGAATAATATCAGAAGAGCCCAGCCCTGCTCCCTCAGGCTGGAGGCTGGCATTCCAGCACAGGTCTCTTAATGTTGTTACATATAACCTTGATCAGTCTGTAGTATCTTCTGGCTTGGCTACAGTTTTCCTTCCCTGTGTGCAATCACTGTCCAAAAATTCTGTCTCTTGCTGTGAAGCACTTTACAGAGACCACTTGGAAAGAGATTTTTTTGACACCTAATTCCATTCTTTTGACAAAAGTGAAATATAGCCTATTACAGTCATGCTTCATCTCCTGGTTAGGCAGAATCTAATACTTAAAACCCTCTGAAACTCAGATCTTTCAAAAGCTACTGTTTTTAATCAATCTTAAAAAAAAAAGGTCCTTTGTAAATTCATCCATTCTGTTTATCTCCTACCACCATAAAAGAAGCAACTCCACAGTCACATAATCTGGATGTACTTCTAATGTGCCAACGTCTTTGCTGATATCCTGCTTCTTTACAAAATTTCATCAGTAATTTGCTTCATATGAGTCTTTTCCATTCTGTTAAAACAGGACTGGAAGATCCATTTCTACTGTATTTGAACAACTCTCACTGGAATACAGCACGATGAAACATTTTAGAACTGTGTTCTTATTTACTTCAGTATCAAACATTTCTGCTGTAATGTGAAGGCACCAAATCATTTTAAAAAAACATATCCTTTTCAGAAAAGGTCAACATTTTTCACATTCACCGCTGTTCTAATGGATGTCTGGCTTCATGGCCCTCTTAGTGAAATTTTCAACTTCGTTGTGCGCAGATAGCAAAGAAACTTCTCCTGGAGTCACTGTCAAAATGCTGAAGAGATAACATTTACTTCGTTCCACTCATCGGGTATTGCCTGAACTAGGAGGAGCACAAAAACATCCCTTTCCAAATGACACAGTCACCCTGTTCCTAGGTAGCTACTGACTCTATGCAAAATGAAACCATTAACTTCTAATTTATTTATTCCATCAAGCCTGGATTAATCTGCCTATCAAGTAAAAAAAAAAAAAAAAAAGACAAATAAACAAGAAACATATTTTCCAAGACAAAGAATCCAGCATGCTGCACTATTTCAAATAATCCAGACTACATCTGACAGAAATTCCAGGGAGCTGTGACTGACCCTTTTTGAATACGTCAGAGGCTCTTTGTTTACTCTTTGCTTTCCTGCTTTGCTCCTTACTTCTTTTCTTTGGCCCCAGCATGGGGATCCATGGGTTGTAGTCTCTTGGGGTGTCCTCATTTTTTATTCTTTAACATTTAAAACTGGGTATTCTCCTGCTGTTTTGCTAATTACAATTTCCCCCAAGAAACCATAAAGGCTACTTTGAAGGCCTTAAAAACACTGAAATAATTTTGTGGAAGGATTGATCTGTATATCAGTCCTTGGGTATATATTTCTTGACAACACAGATAGAGAGATAAATAGATGATAGCCATCTCTATAGTGCTACTAGAAGCATATCCAGGTTTCAGATTCTTGTTCAACTAGTATCTGGGGATTTGATTTGAGATTCTGTTAATATGTTGTACATTTAAAACCAGAAGTCTTCAAACCACCATATAGAATGACATAGAAATAAAATCCAAGATGAAAAACTGATATTAAGCACATTCTTTTGTTTAAAACAATAGCAGCAGAAGGAAATACATTGTACTCTACTGTCCTTCACTAGATGAGCAACGAATTAAACCTGTGCAATTCAAAGCATACAAAGAAAACGTTTCTTAGTCCTCTTCTGAGTAAGTGACAGAATCACACAGAATCACATGAAAAAGCAAGACCTCCAGACCAGCCTCCTGCTGGTAGCAGGGTGAGCTGTGAGGCCACAGCAGGTTACTGAGGGTTTTATCCAGCTAGGTCTTTAAAAAGTCCAAGTCATTTTTCTTCAGGACTGCAGAAGCCTTCTACCTTCTAAGTGTAAAGTTAGGAAATACAGTGTATGCAGCACAAAAAATTCAACTGCATCAGTCAGACCATATTTAAATATCTGTCTGTGCTTAAGTGTTGATTTACTATGCAAATACAGAAACCCTGTCACTAGGAAGTTATGCTAGACTGAAAGAACCTCTCAACAAGTCTTGCAATTTCATTAAGCAATTAAAGTCCATATGGGGATTCTTTAGTGAAATAGAGCACCATCAAGTGGCAAAATTCTCTTATATTACTATTCATGCTTATACCAGAAAACACCATGTGGAATTAAACTGTAATTGGTTCTTGAAAGAATGCTTGCTTTACACCATTACATTGTCATTGTGTGTGTAACACTGCATCATGGAAGCAAAGCTCAAAAGCTCAAAAACTGTTGCAGTAACTGATGACAAATAAGCTACTGTATGTTCTTGTCCTCTACAGTTTACAAATACTACATTAATAGAATTAAAATAAAAATAGCAGGGTATGAATTTACCACAAATAGGATTCAGAAATCCTTACAAGCAGAAATTGTGGTCTCAGATAAATGAGGTTCAAAAAAGAGAAGACTAAAACCAATTTAGGTAGAAAGAGAAGATGACAAATGCAAAAAGAGAAAGAAAAACATTTATACTTACTTTTGGTAATGCATATTTTGGCAACTTCATTTGTACAAAGCCATTTCGACGGTAAGACACGTAATACTTGGTCCGATTTGCTGATGTTGTCTGTACAAAGGAAAAACAGAACCCTGTGATGGTTTATGCTAAACCTAAAGAACCTGAGATGGAAGTTTTTCTTTTAACCTGCAACTGAAATACATAGCTATTACTGTTATTGCATGCAAATAATCTGCATAGTAAACCGTTCTTCTCTTTAGGAAGACAAAAATTATTTACTTCCTTCTTTTGCCATTTCAGCAGTTTTGGGTGATACCTGAGACTTCAGCATCTCACTGTCCTCAGTCCTTGCTAATATCTTTGTACCCAGTTGGCCTCCCACATCTTTGCCCTGTTGTAGAAGTCGGGGCAGCAGCAGCCTTTAGGTGAGAGGTAGGGAGGAGGTACACTGGCCATGAACGCCAGGTGCCCCAAGGGCAAGAAGTACTCCACAGCACACTTCAAAGCAGAGCACAAAACATTGAATAAATCATGCTAACATTATGTAAAACATTTACTATATCTGACTAATATTTTCTATACAGGATAAAACATTTCCCAGTGGAAGATGCTACCACACCATGTGGAAGATAAGGATGCAATCTTAAATCCATTGATTGGTCAGTTTTAAACTCAGTGATATGTTCTGAAGACACAATTATATGCTTAAATAGAGAGGTAAAACACGCATTTAAATGACTTGCATGTATGAAACTGAAGACAGATTAGGTTTTACATAAAATACTTGGTGCTTCTGAAGATTTTCACTAAAGAAAGCCAAGAGTAACAGTTATTGAAAGGAACACTGCTTGTATGACTATCAACCACAAAGAAACCCCACAACACCCACAAAAAAGCCCTCACAATGCAAATATTTTTCCAAAGCACCAAAAAGAATATTCAAAAAAAACATATCTGAAAATTCTCAATTAATAACCTCCCATGGTTTTTCTAATCGGAAATATAACACCAAAATCTGTGCTGGTATATCAATTGGCATATTTCCAACTTAGCCACTTGAGCACCATCAGATGATATTAGTAAAGATTTTAGTCTTTGGTAAACAATATTTCACCTTTTTTTTCACATTTCCCCTGCACAGAAGATCAGCTACGTAATGGCTACTTAGTAATTTTCACTAAGCTTATAAAGGTTGGCTGCTTTGAAGAAATGCATTGGTCAAAAAAAAAAAGAAAGAAATTAAATGAAATGTCAAAAATTTTTCTCTGGTTGCCCATGACAAATCAGATTGTAAAACAGAAGCATAAAAAGACTCATCTTCTTTCTCTGACTTAGGAAATCCATTTAAAATCCTACCCCAATCTCACTGTTTTTCTCCTCAACTTTTATGTTTAAAAAGGGAATCTGATTTGGAAGACAGCCTATCCTGAAGCATACAAACTTGATGTGGCTTGGTAAAAATAGAATTGATGTATGACAGCAGGTCCACCTGCCTGGATATTTTAAAGATAACAAAGTATTCCAAAGCATTTAATACTGTAAGCATTTTCACTCTTTCTTTAAACCCATTTCAAATGTGATGCCCTTTAGGAATGTCATTTGTTAAATGATGATGGATCAAACCAAAAGCCTCACCATTTGTTTAACTAGTGTTAAGTGGCAATCTTACCTATCTTTTCATAGCCTTCTTTTAAATGCATTTTTTTTAATTTCACTCATTTTAAATGACTGGAGATGATGCAGGGCAGAGGAAAATTGGAGTGGAAGCACCCAGTGATATCAAGCCTCACTGAGATTAAAGGCTAGTCTATGCTTAAAAACAGTGTTGAAACTTTAATCTCCTACTAAAATCACTCTGAAACTGTCTGACTGACATTGCAAACTGGAAAAAAAAGGAATACTAGAAAGTTTCTGATCTTTGTGGATACAGTTTCTGATCTTTGTGGACATACTAAAGAAATGGGGTTGAGATCATCCGCAAAGATGGTAAAAAATCTCAGATTTGGGACAGGTTTAGCAGTGCAGACCTGTAATGCTCCGATCTACATTTGCACAGCTCAGGGCATTTGAGCAATGCCAGAGGCAGGAAGACCGCCTCAAACTCTCCTCCCCTTTTGCACAGATGATTCTGTCCCATCCTCTCTCTGGCAGGCAATGCTGGGGATATCACAAGGAGTCCCTAAGTGTAACTTATACAGCAATATTTTAGTGTCATGATAAAAGAATTTCCACATGGTTTCAAAAGCATGCTGTTTCTCACATGTACAGCTGCTGTGAGGTTTCACTGGAGCAGGCAAATACTGCATCACACCTCTGGGGTGGCTGCACTTCAGATGTGACTGCAGGATCCCAGTTATCTTCTAACGTCCAGTAACTGGGTTTACAGTAATTGGCTAACTGCAAACCAATTTAGCAATAAAATTTACATTACATACTGAGGTTTAGTGCAATTAAGTGCCAAAGGAAAAGACTGGAGATGTTTCTCCTTTATGTAGAACACATGAACATCTCATCTACTGGCACTAGCATGTGTCAAATCTACAGAGATCACATTACCAATGGCATCCTTTTGATTGTAGCAACTGTCTGTTACTTACATGTACATTTCCACATTGCACTTCCATTTTGTGTCTGCTCATGCCTGGTATGAGATGGAATAACAGCTAAAGATGCAGTTGTACAAGGCATTCAGCAAAACAAAATGCTTGATGAGGAAGAAGCCAGTGTTTTGCTGAGCACAGCAGTCTGTAAGTTCACATGGTGAGAAATAGTTCTCTCTGTCTATACACCATGGAACGGATTTTAGAGTGTGCCTGGGGGGAGTCACAGATAATAGTACCTTTGAGCAAAATGAGTGCTACGAGTGTTAGATCTGATACGAAAAATGCCTACTTTAATCCAAAAATTCTTTCCCAAAGCCATTTTTTCCATTTCCTTATAGTGCTAATTGTTCTAAGCCATGCAGACTTTTGAAACCACTGCGCCAAACAAGAGGAGGACAGATCCTTTGTGTCCCTACTAATTTACAGATCTTTGTGGAAGAGCTCTAAAGAGGGAAAGCTGCAAGGAAGCCATTCTGATGTACACTGAGGCAGTGGTGGGGAGACCTATCCATTGTCACAATACTGCTTTCCTGCAAAACTCAATGAATAGACAAGCCTTGCAGCAAACAAATCATATCAAACTAAGGGAAAAATGACAGCCAACCACCAAGGAAAGCACAAGCAACTTCCCCAGTAAAATCTAACAAAGCAAGGAGGACATAACGGTTTTTTGAGAAGTTTGCAGCTTTGGTAGATTCAAATCACAACCAGTGCCAAGCACATAAAGTTTTCAAGTGTGCCTGAGCTGTACTGGTGCCATAAGCCTGACAAAGTTCCAGCCCACATTTCTGCACACAGGCCCTGTAGTTTGGGAATGAAATAACCCCAATGTAATTTGGACCACCATGACTTGTAGACATGGCATTTAGGGCCATGGTTTAGTGGTGGACTTGGCAGCGTTAGGTTTACGGTTGGACTCATTCTTAAGGGTCTTTTCCAACCTAAATCATTCTATGATTCTATACTAGTTTGCTCCAAGATCCCAGCTATGACCATTTCACTCTTTTGCTTCCTAAGCACAACCATGTAAGTTCTTTCCTGGCAAAACCTCTTCAGAGGAAAATCCTTATGAAGAAGATGTGCAACCAGTCTGTCAGTGGTTCTCCACAGATGGTTTTATCAGGAGCCTTTTTAATCTTTTTGTTCTACCAAGGTACTAGAAAGAACCCAGAAGAGATTGTAAGCATAAGAACAAAAGGGTTGCATTTTGCTTAACACACAAGAGTATTTATAGAAAGCAACTTTGAACCATACAATCAGCTTGGAAATTTTCATATAGTTAAAGGGTAACTGGTTGCACAAACTAAAGATGCTTTTTTTTTTTTTTAATGATAAAGGAATTATTTGTTTCCTGTAAAAATTCATAAATTATCATTCATACTCTGGAACAGGTTTCTCCCTGCTCCTTACGGTGTTGCTGCACTATTATTTAAAATTTTATTTTTGATTTGAGAATAAGCTGTCTCTCCCAAAAGTGGCAGTACCTGAAGAAATACGTAGTCATCCTGCACAGTCAGGGAATCCCGATCAGTACCACCAGCAAATGGGACTGTCATTGTCTTATCAGAACAATTTTGAATCTGGCAAGTGATGTAGCGATAACCTGAGGGAAGAGAGACAGAAACATATGACAGGGCTATCAAGGGAAAAAGAAGCAAGCGGTATTAAATGTTATTCGTGTAGAAAAAATGCTGCCTTTGCCAGGTGAGTTGGTTGTAGAATTATTATATTAAACCCTCATACAACAGTTTTTCAATCTCCAATGTACTGAGAATATATTAACTGCTTACAGTTCAGATCATTCCCTGGAGGCAGCCTGTTATTATCCAAATGTTGCTGGTCCAGAGAGATTAAGGGTTAGATGAATGAGTCATTCATGGGTGGGGATAATAGAAGGAGCCTCTTTTCTCACTTAACCTATGCACAGAGCCAAATTATTCACTTGGAGAAATGGCAGCCTGACACAACATAACTGAAATCAATAGATCAACCCCAGTATAAAATTGTGATGAATGAGAAAAGAATCAGACTTCGTTTAATAGACAGTGTGCAGAATTTTAAAGGCTATTTTCAAAGCTCTGTACGAATGTGCAGAGACACTATTAACATGCTATTGGAACTGCTCTGTTGGGGCAGGATTTCTATATTCATAATTAATACTTTGCTGAAAAAGCCTGGACTGATTTATAATCAGTGGAGGCTGCAGCCTTTCTCTTCCTCTCCAGTTAGCAAGGACTATCCTCTATACCTGGGTTCTTAGAAGAGCACCACTGCATCTTTGATACAATCTGCTCTTATCAGAGAGAGCAGAGCCAACAATTGTATCTTACACCAGCTGTGGCTTAAAGACCTTCTCCTAGATTCAAGCTCTTGTACAGCTCAGCCTTCGTCACAAGCTTCTGAGTACAAAGTACTTGAGTGACTTTTCCAAGCACAGCGAGGAAAATGTTATATACACAGTCTTGTGTCCAGATCGCTAATTCTACCCATGCTCCATTTACAGCATGAGGGAGAGCAAACAATGCACCCCCATGTCCTTCACTACTTTTGCAGTGTGATAGGAAATGCATTCCACACTTTAATGACTTTTAATTAGACAAGGCCAAACCAGTATACTGGATACAATTATTTTTTTTAAATCTGAATGTGTTTAAGAGGCAGTTAGATTCAATTCAAGTTCTTCTGATTATATCCAAATCATCACTATCAGGACATCTGACCAAATGCAGCAATGGACCATCTGAAAGTCTTGCAGATATTCATCATTCACATCACAAGAGTTATAGCTCTTCATCAGATAGGTAGTGCAAAGATGTTGTTTCCATTGAAATCAATGGCAATGCTTGTACTGACCATAAGTGCACAAAGTCAGTTTGTTGAGAACCCAGCCAGGAAATACATCATTATTCTTTTTCTGCCGCTTCTGTTTAATAAAAAACCTAAACAAACCTTTCCATAAAGGTCCTAAAAAATCTTTTTACACTGACTCTAAAGAAAGCAGCTGAGGGAGCTGTCACTATGTCTCAGAAATCTCGCTTCTAAAAGATTTAGAAACTTTGTCATCCAGCTTTTAACATGGCAACTTTGATTTTTTTGATAGGGCTGAAACGAAGAAAAGTTACAGGATTGGGACAAATTAAACTGCACATTCTTTACAACTCATTTTTAAGATTGCACAGGAACTTAGATGATCAGATTCAAGGAATTACATTACCTTTAAAGAGTACGATTGGTAACAAGAAACTACACCAGATTTTGGAATTGTGGTGACTCTTCAGTACAGCACATCCTGACTACCAGTCTGCTTTTTCATTTATTTTTCTTTTGAAGACTCAAAGTATACTGGATAGTGCAACATGAGGAAATTCTGGGAGCTGGTGGTTAGTGCAGTAGACCTGACATATGCAATGATTCACATAAACAGACACTCAGTACTAACACTGCATTGCCAGTTTTATTTGCAAATTGGGAAAAACTGTTCAATGTTTAACTGCCAGAATAAATTGCACCATTAATGGACATTTTCAACAGAGCATAACATCTTGACGTCAACTCATCTTACAGGGGAAAACAAGTAGATTTTAAATTATACTATACTTTTATATAACAGGGCAGTTTTGCTGACTACATATAAACAGAGAAAGCATCTGACTCGTACAATTTCTCTTTTGACTAGTTTTAAAAACAATCTGAAAAGTACCTCTAAAACAAAGAGAAATTACTATACACTAGGGTATTAATTGATAACATTTTCATTTGCATACCTCCACTGGGGTCCTGGATTTCCATATGAACTAAATCAGGGTCTGCATCAACTCCAGCAACGGCCCTGAGAACATAATATAATCAAATTATGTAGAGCCAGCTACAGAATAGTAATTATGTGGATGGAAGAAAAGAGAGGGTTTCATACTAACCAGCTTTAACATTCTAGCTGGGAAATTGAAATAAACCCCATTTATAATGTCCCATTACTAACACCTAGAAGGAAATTATTTTTTCTGTACTTGACAATGTTTTCCTTAAATTTCTTTAGAATCCCTTTTACTAACCCATGGATAAAAATAGGGTAAATTGGGAAAAAAAAAAAAAACAAACAGAAAAAGGTATGAAATTGGAAAAAAACCTTCATAATAATGAATTGATATATGTACACACAGAGATATGCACACAATCACAGGCTCTGGCAAGCACTGTAGCATCTTTTTACAATTACATTTGACATTTGAGACTAAAAAGCAGATTTAATGCTAAAAAACACTTAAGATTCCTTTCTTATTAGAGATATCTTAAACTTGACACACAGTTTCCATAACAAATTGATATATCTTTGGTTAGTATACTCAAGAGAAGAGTAGATTCCGCTTTGACAAAGAAAGTGAAGAATAATTTCGAGAAAAACATCCTGAGAAGGAAATTCAGACAGAATTGATCAAGGTGCAGTTTAACTCTGAAAAGCTATAATGGGAATACAGGCTGATTTTCTCCTAATATCTCTCATGTCAAATATGCTCAGCCAAAAGATGAGTTTTCTACCCTCAGGGCTTCCATCCCAACCTGGGAATGGCAGCCCCAGCTGTGCTTTTTTCTGGCCCTTCTATTGTCATTAGTCAGGCAGATTCTGCAGAGAAAGGTTTGAGCTGACAGTTGTGTGTCACTAAGTGAGGCAGAATCCAGCCCCACTCCCAGAGTCACATCACTCTTCCCAAGGCTCTTCACTGGCATGGCAAGAGTCCATCGAGTCAGTAGATGTGAGCTGAAGACAGGCAAAGGAGATACACTGAGTGATAAAGTACAGCTGGATGCAGATATTAAAAAAGCCCATTAAGATACTTAAGAGAAAATTATAATTTTGATACAATTATTAACAATCAAATGCAATAAAGCTGTACTTTGGATTGAAATTACATCATTGCTTAATTATTTTAATAGCTTAATTTATGAGGGGCAGTTAGACTCAGTAATTGGTGGCTCCTTGGGAACACAATCCAGGAGGACGAGACTGGATGATTTCCACTGCTGCATAAAAACCAGAAACAATCACAAATGCTGTTTTCCCCTAATAAGATAAATGATATATTCCCCTAATAAAAAAACGATGGAGAGGGTGAGGGATGAGCCTCTCCAACCCATAAGATGCCATGGAAACTTCAGTGGGATTATATTTTTTTAATAAATGCATGGAAAAATTTTGTATTTAATAAGAATATGGTCTCTCAAACACAAACTATTTTAGCATTTTGGAGGCAATACAGTAGGTCAGATAACATTTTAGAATCAGTGAGGTATGATAAGAATATATATAAGCAGAGGAAAGGGATGTGTGAACTTTTTTGCTGTGTGTGCTGTTATCTATCTTTCTAGATATCCACAACACCAAATGAAACCTGCTATCAACTCCACAGTCAGCAATTTGAGGGAAAAAAATGTTTGCTGAATATTTTACTTTTTGTGTTGGACCTCATGCAGCTGAACCACAGAAATTTTTAGGTTGAATTTTCTAAGGCTCAGCTTGCCATGCTAACAAGCATCAATAATGAAAAGGAAGTTTTTGGGTATTTCCGAAATTACCTCTTGTATCTATTATATATCACACATTATTTCATAAACAAAGTTTGAGGTATTTGTCAATATCTTTGCTTTCTCATCTTTCTTTTAACAGACCAGAATTACAATGATCTCCCTTTTACTGTGCTCCTCCTAACAGTGGCAGCTGACACAAGTAGATTCTAATCTTGTTTCCAGTGTAACGTTTTAGAGCAAGAAGATGTAGCTGATTTGTTTTAACTAACATTTCAGAACAAAACTTTCCAATCCAGACTATGTTTCTTCTTTAGACTTTTATTTGAGTAGATGTCAATAACTCACAAGGAAGGGTTTTTTCCTTAACCCAGCCAGGAAAATAATACCTCTTTCCACCTGAAGTTCAGACATTTCCCCTACCCCTTTTTTAAAATTATCCTTTACTATCCAGGCAAAGTTACCTCTAAAAGGCAACTCCTTTATTCCTAAACCAGCTGGATCACCTCCCACAGTGTCCACTGACTGTAAAGAAGGTTTAGGATGACAGGTCCATACTGCAGTTTGACAAGCATTTCTTCTCAGTGCTCTACTAGATTATATCACTCCACTCTGTGTCCCCAGTCTTGCTTCTACTTTGTCCCACTGAACTTGCATTGGGAACTGTCTAATCTAAAGGTGACCCTGCAAAGATGTAAGCCACCAGGCTGCCAAAAGGAATAATCACTAAGCTATATCTGTAGATGTCTAACTTTACCCAAGTCTAAGTGAGTGATGGTGGTGCACCTCCGGAGTTGAGATGCATGCTCTACGTGCAGTTTATCCATTTCAAAAGGCACAAATTAAGCAGAATATTTAAAAACTACGACTTGTGTTTTTCATTATTCTAATTGTACTGATGAACTCTAACAGCAGAGACTCTGTTTACTCAATGGAGACATTACACCCTTAAAGTCTACTTTTGAATGTCAGCTACTGAGCAGTTTCTGAACTCTAAAGTCCCTTTATCCAGCTTTACAAACACTTAGGAATAGCCCTTTCTTCTTTTATTGAAAAAAAGACCAAATCTATTACAGCTGCTGGGAAAATCTTCAGAAGAGAGTATAACTAATATAGAAAATTTGAAGCTATATCCCTGAAAAATAAACTAATCTCATTTCAGTGGACTCCTCTGCCAACAGCACTTAAAAGATAATACTGTTATTTCACTTGTGCTTAAATCATGAACCAAAGAGAAAGTTGTATGATACTCTGCAGGCTAAACACAGTCTTGGTCCCTCTGCTCACATGATACAGCCTTCTCAAAACGAAGGGCAAACAAGGTACATACGGGGACACAAACAGCATATGATCCACTTAAACAGAAAGCTCAATTACGTGTTTTTTTTTAATATTGAGGGAGAAATGCAAACCAACATTTTTTTGCATATTCATTTACAAACTTGCTACTACCAGAACAAAAATGTATTGTGCCAGTGTGAGGACTGTGTCCACACATCCATTCACAAGCACAGTTTTACAGTTACCTGGCTGGCTTTAGGCTAGGACTTCTTCTGTCTTATAAAGCAGAGATGCAATAGATCCTAATAATCTGACCGTTTCTTCCTTTTTGGTTGACACTTCAGCATAATTTTTTTTTTCCCCAATAGAACAAGCACTTTCTCAGGAACTATCTATTTTTCTCAATTTCAGTAGGGTTTTTGGTTTGGTTAAAATTCCCCCACTCTTTTTCTCACAGTACTTTGCAATGAAAATGTTCACACCTCAGCAGTCTGGGACCATTTCTTTATTTAGTTGTTTCGTTTAGGTAAATTCAGGGTTTTCTGGTATATGTTGTTTTAATGTTTTGCATTCAGCCACTGAGTTTTCCAATTGAATTCAGACTAACTTTTAGATCAGACAAATCTTCCTCTAGGAAAAGAAATAGTTTTTGACCAAGTATACTGTGCTGGATAAAGCAAGTGCAACACATACCAGCACTTCAGATCACATAATAGTGTGGTTATAACACTTCAGAATTAAAATAGCCTGACTTGATTGCAGGGTGCTGCAAATACAGGCAACCTCAATATGCTTCTTCCCTTTCCTGTGAACACAAGGTTCCATTATCTCCCTTGTGCTTGTCTGACACCATGTTGAGCCTCTTGGGAAAACTAGGCCTGCAGAACGTAATTTTAGAACTTTTTTGAGGGATTAGTTTTCCGTTTCTTAAATCACCAGATCATGTCAACAGTTGAGCACTAATCCTGCAGAAGAAAAGCAGCAAGAAAGCTGCCATTGGTGGCACAGAGGTGGAACTGCCACCACCCCGGTGCAGCCTTTGTGTATGTCTAACCTCAGTTATGTTGTAAAGTTGCATTTACTAAAACACAGTGAGAAACAGGGGGAAATCAGGGCACCTATGTTTCCATTTGGGCCTGTATTTGATCTCCTGAAGGATACTGTGAAGCCCTTTCTTATGCATATGGTTTTTTAGACACCATGTCTCTGCTGCTACTTCCTTCTCCGGTGGAGGACTCCTCACACTCTTCCCCTGCTCCATCATGGGTCCCTCCCACAGGATGCAGTCCTTCAGGAACAGGCTGCTCCAGTGTGAGTCCCCTGTGGGTCACAAGTCCTGCCACCAAAACTGCCACCAAAACTGCTCCAGTGTGGGCTCCTCTCTCCACAGGGCCACAGGTCCTGCCAGGAGCCTCGTCCAGTGTGGGGTTCCCAGTCTACCTCAGGCATTCATCTGCTCCACCATGGACCACCATGGACCACCACGGGCTGCAGGGTGACAGCCTGCTTCATCATGGCCTTCACCAAGGGCTTCAGGGGAACCTGTACTCTGGCCACTGGAGCACCTCCTCCCCCCTCTTCTTCACTGACCTAGGTATCTGCAGGGCTGTTCATCTCACTTATTCTCACTCCTTTCTCTCACATCTGTTGCACATTTTTTACCCTTTCTTACACAGGTTATCACAGAGGCAATACCAGCAGCACTCAGCTTGGGCCAGCAGTGTGTCCCTCTTGGAGCCAGCTGGAACTGGTTCTGTCTGACACGGAGGCAGCTCCGAGTCTCTTCCCACAGGAGTCCTGAACTCTCCTGCTACCAAAGCTTGCCACATAAACCAATAAGTTACACACATCATCACACAGACAGAAACAGAAACAAAACCCATTGCAAGTGATTAAGTCAAACTTAAGAGTAACTGCCCACACAGATTCTTGGCTTCCCACACAAGAGCCTCTCACATGAAATTCAATGCTAAAGGCTCAGTGAAATCCTCTTTGCATTTCTCTCCTTCAGGGCATAACATCACTGAAATCCCCTCTTTCACCTGACACTTGAATAGCCAGGAACCCACTATGCTTGACATAAACGGGTATGGCTATGAGGGATTATCCTTATGGGATTTCAGGATGAGAACAGAACTTTGGTCTCCTGAGAACAACTGCTCTATCCAAATAAACTCATCATTTTTTATTTTTATGTTCTCACCTTTCATGAAAATAGAGAATCTGCAGCTAAAAATAAGAGTAACAGATACCCATAGCATAGGATCCCCATATCCTAGTGAGCTGGGGATAAAGCATTCCTAAGGCTCTAGACAGAGTCATAAAAGAAATGTGTCAGGCCTAATTCTCTGGTAATTACCAATTCATTACTTACTGTCCCGTGGTATATTAGTGCTGATGTAGACAGCTGATTCACAATCTATTCTTCGCTTATGTATTACTAAGTTCTATTTTGAGAAATCAAAAGGATTTCTCAATGGTGCATAAGCCTTGGAGACTGAGAAGAATAGCAGCAGAGCCAGAGGAATGCCAAACTGCACTACTCTTTCTTCTTCCACATAATAACCACTCCGTTTTAAAAATGGGTTTCGTATACAAACCCAGTTATATACCATGTGATAGGTGGGTGTTTAATGTTTGGCTGGAATAGGTCATATCTCTTTGCATTCCCTCCTAAAAATGCATCAAGAACTGGAAAAGGTATTTATAAATGATGGGTATTATAACATCCCTTAAACAGAAATTGTCACACTGGGGCCAGTGGAGTTCGTATGCTGAAGTAAAACTGGCCACAGCAATCAAAGTTTCTTAATTATACAGAAAAAGAATCTTCTCAAAATTGAAAAAATAACATTAAAACATTCAATGTTAAAAAAGGGGGGGATTTTAATCTTCCTAATTAATATTTACACAGATATAAAAGATATATATTCTAAACATTGACACAAAAACATTCTTTTTTTTAATCACAGTGCTACTTAATATCTTATTTTATCATTAGTTGCAAATCTGCCTTTCATGCTTTTGCCTTATAGCACTTTTGTTTTTAGAATAGAATAAACTTTTTCAGTTGGAAGGCACCTACAACAACCATCTAGTCCCACTACCTGACCTATTCAGCACTGATCAAAAGTTAAAGCATGTTGTTAATGGCGTTGTCCAAATGCCTGTTGAACAGGCTTGGGGCATCAACCACCTCTCTGGGAAGCCTGCTTTGCCTTCTAAGATGCGAAGAGAAGGCAAACTCCTATGAAGGATTAGTCAACTTCCTTTTCCAAAAGAATAAATGAAACAAATAGGGAAAACAGCTAGGATGCTGCTAGAAAAGAGCACGCTGCATCACAGATAGGAAGCAAATATTCTGTGCTTCTAGAGATAGTATAATACACTTTCCATTGATACCAATAATATTTTCATTAGTTCCACTACCATGAAAAATCAAATTCCACATATTAAATCTGCAAAGCTGTTTAAGAAATGATTGAGAACAATTGAAAAGCAAATAAACCCCAGAAGATGATATTAATACATTACTTATAAACCTACAGTATAAGATCTGAACGTAAATATTTCAAATACTCTGTCTCTACTGACCTCCCCTTAATACAGATACATATCATATTCCATTAAATTAATTGTATTAATATTTTCATGGAGTAAAAAAAAAGTTTTTTCATGAAGCGCATGAAGATTTGGCTGTTTCTGCAAGCACAGGAAAAAAATTGTTTTTACAAAACACGTGAAAATATTATGACTGATAATATCTGTAGTTACCAGGCTGGAATAAAAATTTTAGGCTATATTATTGACCTGAGTGGTAAAGCTTAATTGAAATCAAAGAAAAAACATCTGCTAAGGATCTGCCCAGTCAAATGTTCTTGGCACAACCAGCCCGTATCAGCAAGAGACATGCCCTCATTTATCATGAGATGTACATGAGAGAAATGAGTATGGTCTATACATATAAAAGAGGAAAACAACCCCCTAGAAAATATATCTAATGCCTATAAATGTACAGACTCTTAGAATTTATTATTCCTATCTGTGAAGAATGTGACATTTATGAATAACCACAACTTTGAAGTACTACATTGGAATTATTCCTATCAAAGATCCAGGACACTTTCCTGATTGTATCTGAGTGATATAAGGAAACATAAGGATTCTGAAACAGCAAAATATAGACTTCTAATTAAACATGCACTTTCTGGGTTTAATCCTTAGATACAGAGAACAATGACAGATTATTTGAGTTGGAGAAAAACTGACACATATTTCAATGGTTTGCTATATTTTTCATAATTTAAGTATGCTAAGTGTCAGGTAAGAAAAACACCATTAAACAAGCCTGTGAGAGAGAGGCTTCCACTTTTATTTCTACCTATTAATGACTTTATTTGTTTTAAGACTTAATGCATTTATAAAATGAAATTATTAAAGACAGATAACCACATGCCCTCGTGATTTACATCCTATATAATCTTGCTAGGGAAAAATTGGTTATAAGGTGGACATGACCCATGGTGTTACTCCTTAATGATTATTTTACTCTTTCACATGGTACTTAAGAGACCTGAACTAAAATAAGTCATTTAGGGAATGCAAGTGTCTAGCAGATTATAACTCATTCTTGTAATAAAAAATACATACTTACGCAATGAAGTAAAATGTGAAAGGGGCAATTGAGTGTGAGATGGACCAATTTTAAAAGTAAACTAATTAAAACACTATCAAAAGTTTAATTTTGGTGTAAGAGAAACTATAGACTTTTCAAACTAATTTCATTTGTTAAAAAAGGGCATTGACTTACTTTTCAAACATTTTGTCAACCTGTTTAAATCACTTCTTAAACATTTAGGGAGACTGCACAATATTTAAGCTGAAAATGAAATAATTTGATATATGTGTCCTCAATAAAGGACAAATATTTTTCACCAGTTTCCTTATTAGTGCAAGTTTATATGACTCCAGTTAATACATATGATCCAATCTCTCTTAAAAAAATGTTATAGATTTTTCTCTGCAAAAAGACTGCTCTCCTTTCTAAAGATCCATTTCACCAGTAAATGCAGAGCAGTTTCATTCAATATTGCAGCTTTCTTTACATCTCGGTCTCCATAGATCCAGACCTATAACCCTTCCATGTGATGATATCTGGTATGATCATTGGTATGAATTTGCAATGGAGAACACAGAAACACCAACATAATCTGCAAAAGATGCCAGGGTTCCTACTATCCCACCAGTATCTCTGGAAACATCTTTCTTGATTAGAATGAAATACTTTTGATCTTCATTTTATTATTTGAAAAATAACAGACTTCTTACCAAAAAATATGATCTTTAGAAACTCGTTCCTGCAGAAGGATCCATTTTTTGCCCAAGTCAGTAGATACATAGACCTAAAAAAAGGGAAAAAAAGAAAAAAATGAGATGATAGGAAACTGCTAATATACATCTTCAAAGACAGGTCCTATGTCACTATTAAATGAAAGATTGTACACCAATTAAAAAAAAAAACAAACCAAAACAAACAAAAAACCACCAAAAACAAAAACAACAAAAACATTACCAGGAACTCTGTACAATATTTTTCAGAGTAACAACCTTTCATGGAGAAAATGCTTTGAAATATAATCTATAATTTAAAAAAACTCCGTGACAATGTCTTCTTATTTACCACAAAAATAATTAACAGTTCAGCTGTGGTCAAATTCTTTTTTACATCATCATTGTTACTCAAGAAGGATGGTAGAAGGGTACTTCTCTTCCCATTCATTGACCAAAAAAGAAAAAATGTTCCATTTATGTCATCAAAAATATTAAGTCAGGAAGTCAACGGATTTAAAACTCTGCTAAAATAGGACCAAAAGATATTAGAGAAATGCTTAGGATATTTGATGAGGAGAGATGTACGTAAGGGATTGTTTCATGGATACCAATTTGTGGCCCATGAGAAGTGTTCCCTCAGCAGAGAGGTAGAAGATGGCCTGGACAGGGAGGACTCCAGTTCCATCTTCCATATGAATAATTCACCTCTGGTAAGAAAACAAATGCTAATGATATCGATGGATATAGAGTGCAGATGAAAGTTGTTTTCCCCCAGATTAAAGCGGGATATAAAATAGCTATTAAAAAATCACTCTCCTTTAGCATTTGCCTTCATTATGTTTCCTCTAGTTAAAATAGGAAGCTTCTATCAGACTTCTAATGAGATAGATTTAAAGCCCCCCGCTGTCTGCATGCATTTCTTATTTGATCCAATTTACATAAGATGGGTTTTCTCTTGATATCTCTAATAAGGAAAAAAAGGCAAGTAAAACTCCTCTGGTGTGGGAATAAGTCACCAGTTCAGACACTGATTGTTCTGGGGGAAAGTGTCTTATAAGGACTAGTAAGGAATGCTTTTGTTTTAAAATGACAGGTTCAATGACAAGAGATTAAAAAAACCCCACTGTTATGTATTATGTTCTACTACAGAAAACCAGCAATATTAACATATATAAAGAAAAAGGTTGAGGTAACTTAGTACAAACTCTATGGATAAATTTACTGAAGATCAAACTAGAGAGAAAAGAGTATTTCCCAGAGATAAAAGAGTATTTCTGCATTTTCAATGGCTTTCTTCCATTCCGCACTCAATTACAGCTGGTAGACCACAGTTAAGAGTAGGAAACTACAATGAAGATTCAGATTGCTTACTTTAGCATTGACCCAGTCAGTGCACAGGGAAATGATCAAGGACCAAGAACTCTTCATCTTCAGAGCTAAATGATGGGGCTGCCAGGCTCCTGATTTGCCTACGTTTCTCATATTAGCTTTATCATGTGGGTTAGGATTTGATGTAACCAGGGTATTTTATAGCATATTCCTCTGAGCAACCTCCTGGGAGGTACAAATGTAGGCTTTGAATGGGCTAGACCGTGCAGGATGAAGAACCTAAGCTGCTTACCTCTTCAAACATTTGTCACCACAGGCAATACAGAAAAGATAACCATTGGTTATACCATCTTTCTAAAAGGTCCCCGCTCATCCAGTTACCTGCCTCAGCAGACTGCTTAAATCTGGGAGAGATAATCACTTAATGTGCTACCCTAACCCTGGTGTCTAAGCTGCAAAGAAAGCCAAGAATTCAGAGGTTCCTGGCAAGAGGGTAAAGTGTTATTTAGGATAAAGGACAACACTGGCACGTGAACAAAGAGATATAGTTTTGTCATCAATGAATTTCAGAAGAAAATGAAAGAAGATTCTTGCCTTTAGAACAGTTGCCTGTATAGTAGGGGTCAAAAAATACTAAATCTAACATACATTCCTCCCACCCCCCAAACCCAAACTACCTCCTTACACACACATTTAAGATCAAAGTCTGGGAGTTTATGAATGAACAGTTTGGCTTACTGCAGGGGAAACTCTGGTAATCTTACTGTGAGGGAGAGAGAAGTAGGACTAATAAGTCATATTCAAACAAAATTTTAACTGACACAGTATTTGAAATAAATAAAAAAATAACATGTAACTAACTTATGTGCATATTGAACTATCTATAGTAAAAAAAAGTGACCCATGTGTTCTGTTTTTCCACAGGGACATATGATAAAACTACTAAATGAGATCAGATACAGGGTGAAAATAGTTATATCAGTGGACAGCTAAAATCTTTGGCTTCAGCAAACACATCTAATAGATCTTGTAATTCTGTTTATTACCAACCATGTAATAAGTGTGAGGAATCACATAAAAAAAAAAATTGGAAATACTTTTATGTTCTGCCATTTTTTCATCCTTTCAGCTTCCAAATGAACAATAAAAATCTACAGCATCCCTGACGAGGTTTAAAAAAAATCTACAAACATTTATGTACACTCAGCAAACAACTGATTGTTCTTCATTATAACTGAGGAGTAGCCAGAAAAAGAGTATATAGATTTGAGGCAGTAAATGGATTAATCCAACAACATTGACTGGATTAGCATTAATTTATAGTGTCAGCTAGAGGCTAGAGCTCTATTTAAACAGAATCTAGGGTTCTGAATGAATGAACAATGTATATTTTGCACTATGAAATAAGCCCTAAATGGAATCAAAAGTTGTGAAAAAGGTTGTGATGCTGCAGTAGACAAAGAAGCCTTGCTGATTGCTATTTATGAAAGACTTAGTACAGTATTCCTTGTAGTCTCCAAAGTGCCTTTGTAAGAAATCATTTGAGTAACAGAAGATAATGGTTTCTCCTGAGTTTTAGATTGTGTTACATTCTGATACTACTTTTCTTTTAGGAAAGGTAAAGTTACTCAGCTCAAAAATCTAGAGTACATTTGTCTCCTCAGGGCAACTTCAGATCAACACTATCTCTCAAGATCATTGATTTTAGCACAGTGACCTTTTCTTGTGTCAAGTGGCAATTCTGATTTTCAACTCCTTCTATGCCAACATCATTTTATCTTCCTCTCCCTTCTAGGCCAAGTATATCAGATTTTATACAAAATGTAAGCAGTTTACTGACCCAGTTACAGTCAAAGGCATCCTTCATTCATACACATCTTAGGTAATGATGTAGGAGTTGTTAAGTAAGTCTTCGTGGTTGACTCCTTTTAGTGTCATATTGAAAGCCTGAGAAAAGCCCATCAGATTACCTAACTCTTCCTGCTATTCCTGCAGAGTAATTTTTTGTTGAATATTTTGTAGGGGTTTTTTGTCCAGTCACATTTAAGCACAGAAAACAACAGTATCACTCCTTTCAGAAGGCTATCCAAGCCTAAAATGCCCAACAATCTCCCTAACATGCTTAATTCATCAAAACACAAACCAAATGCTTCATTTTGTATTTCTGCCACCTTCTCTCTTCTGACAAATACTTCCAGCCACTTCTGGGCTGGTTAGCTTTTCAATAGACTTCAGACTCTTATACTTCAGTGTTCTGCCAATCTGTAACATGTAGAGTTCAGTAATTATATCTACCATAAGGAAAAAAAAGCCAAATTGAAAAAGAGGTTTTCATAACATAGACTTTCTATGACTTCAGGCTTCCCTGAAGTATTTTATTTACATAATATGCATTTAAGTTATTTGTAATTGTGTTACAATACCAAATTGAAGCTAAGTAAAATATTTAGCATCATCTATGACTTAGTTTGGTTTGTTCTGTTTTTTATTCTAGTTCTATTATTATTTGCAAATGCCTGTAAATATGAATTGGTTTGGGATCAGCTATTAACTTATATCCCAGGAAACATCCCAAAGGATGATCTAACACCACGGGAATCAGTGCAGTATTTGGCTGCAGCATATGCAAATTTCTCTGACTAATGTCATCACTTAAATATACACCTTCTGTGAGGTCTGACCACTTTAAAACAGGAGTAATGATGGAGGTGAGTCAAGACCACTACCAGGACCAGAATTACAGTGAGTTTGCAGCTGCAGTTTTGGCACCGTGAAAAGGAGATGAGATGAGCTACACAACCCCCAGTGCTTAGCCCAACCCATCCAGAAAAATGACTTTACAATTTAACCAAAAGAAATCTGAAAACAGTTCAAAATTTACGAACACAAACAACTCCTGAATCTGACAGTGGTATAAACACATCATAAGAGAGACAATTAGTCTACATTTCTACTGATTCCCCAAATCCTATTGTGCTGTACGAGTATGCAGTTTATTTTGTATGACTTTATTTTACATGGCATGAAGAGCCTTTGGAGGCACTATTTCAGCTTCATTAACTTTCTACTATACCATAAATTTTTTATGCTCACTTTCTAGGGAGGAGCACATTTCAGAAGTATTATTTAACTATATTATGCAGGAGGGTAAATATTCCCAATATCCATATCAACTGAAAATGCCAGGATTGAAATTACCATAAAAACAAAGATTTGGACATGAAAATAATTAATATTTAAATAAAGCTCAAAACCACTACATGATTCCCTTCTGGGCAACTGGTGTTTCATAAAACCCAACACCAATCAGCATATCAAAAGTTTTTGTGTCTTCTTAACAAAGAAACTCTTGTATTTCAAACAAATGCTGTATCTTCAAGCTTTACCTTGCCTTCCTTGGTGTAAGCAAGTATTTTATCTTCTTCTTTTGGGTGAAAAAGGAGGGTTTCCACAAAGAAAGTAATGGGTTGTTTCTGGAAAGTGGCTCCTTCATCTGTGCTTATGAAAAGGCTTTGGTCATGGTCATTGTGGGAAGAACTTACAAGAATTATCTAAAAGACAAAACCAACAACATACATTCAGAAGACATTCTGAATACATTATTATACATTCTATAACAGAAAACACAGCCCTATTTTTCTTGTGTAAATGTCACATTTTGTACATACCTTAGCTACCAAAATTCTGTGGACAAGAAACTCAAAAGTATCTAAGAGTTAAGGACTGCAAGATCTTATTAATCTTGCCTGACCAAATCTATGAATGTTAAATTCTATAACTTCTCTGGCAAATTACACCAAATTGATCATGCTCCTCATCTCTACTCAGAATGAATGCCTTGGATTTTGGTGCTTTTGAAAGGTTCATGAGGCCACATGAGAAAATCTCCAGATTTACAAAAAAAACCCCAGCTAGTAATGACTCATTTTAACATGTCTGTATAAATACACCTCTTTGTCTAGTGAGGCTACTAAATGTAAAAATAATCATTGCCATAATTATATTAGGTGAATGACTCAGGAGAAAGAACTAGTTAATAATATCTCTCCACTCCTTCACCATTCTCCTCTTGCTGACATATTTCGGATTAAAAGGCAATTCACTTCGATGCAGAAAAATATGCCAATAAATTATTTGCATTTCTTTCTCAGGTCCAAATTATGTCTTGACTCAAACAAAGTAATATCTTGAGTTGTGTCCTTATGTGACCTTCATGTCAAGCTTTCAACAACAAAGTTCTCCCCACATAATTCAGTCAGAACTTGACTCTTTTCAACCTTTTCACCTTTTGGAGTCAGTCAGCATGTTATAGCATGGTTCTAAAACTGCTAATATGAGGATCCATTTATGACTGTCTTTCCAGATCAAACAGGTCCACTTGGCATTCAAAAATGTGCCTTTATCAACTGATAGCCTGCGAACAAAATGAATTTTCACAGTCCAGCTGGGCTCTCTCTAGCTCACACTACAAAAACAATTAAAAAAAAAAATCCTGAAATCAAAATGCATTTAGAATATTCAGCAAATGTTGCAGAAAACACCACAGAATACTGATCACTGTGATATAATGACTGTAAATTGCTTACAGAGATAAATAGCAATGAGTTATGCAAACAGAATTACAATACTGTGAATACAGAGAAGGAAAGAGATTAGAAAAAACAGTATAATTTTTATGAAGTCTCTTGGATGAAAGCTGAAGTTAAAATTTTGAAATTTCAAATGAATTATGCAGATATGACAGCTGTATAAGCTTTTACTACAATTGGTCTTGGGGGAAAAACTATATATACAACATTTGTAGATGCTCCAATTTGACAGGTTACTTAAGCGTGTGCACTTGTACTTGAAGCACATACACAGTTTCACTAATTTCTGAAGGGCTTTTGTATACCTCAAATGGGGAACATATTGAAGTACATTGTTGAACAAGAGAGAGTATTGCACATACTTCAGAGTTCATGGTCCACTGCTGAAATCTCACACTAAAGCATATATTAAGCCAAATCTAATTCCATCAGCTGTGTGACTAGGTCACTAAGAAGAGCAAAATAATAACCCATCATGTTGCTATAATCTTGAATTTTTTAATGATATAATTTACCCAAGAGCAGGAACAGGAAACTAACATTTTTAAGCCTCTGTAAATGACACCTTCACAAATGCCATCTCTTATTCCTACTGTATCCAATGGCTTCCTGTCTCTTGGGAAGTGCTTCAAACAGGGTCTGTTCAATTTATTACTATCTACAGTCCACCAGCAGCTGCTGGTGGCCTCGATACAACATTCAAAGATTCTTGTAACACACTCAGTAGGTTTTCTGCAGAGGGTATGGCATCAACCTGAAATGGAATGTGGCTGTGATGTGCTGCCCTGTCCCTTTGCTTGCATCACAAGGTGGAGTGAGGAAGCTGGAGTGCCCAGCATGGAGATTTGTACTTTCCTTGCCAGATTCCCGTCTGCAACTCAGGCTCAAAATATCTATTTTACCTGGAAATAGATAAATCCAATCTATCCACCTGCTGAGAGAGCTACATAATGCTCACTCCTGTTGGTTCATGACCAGAACACAGACAGAAGGATCAGGTTCTGTCCACAAGCAAGGTTGCAATGTGAGCTCCACAATTCCTGATGAGCCTTGTGTCCAGGCATGTCCTCGTATCTGAATGCTGGCACAAAGCTGGTCCTGAGCTCCATGCTTAGGTTGCAGCATGTACAAGCTCTTCAATGTTGTATCACTAGAAGCAGTACGGTAGTAATTCCATATGGGAAGCTTTGTACCTTTGGACACAGTCTTTTAGTGCAAATAACACTTTCTGTAAATACCATTATACTCATTATGTTCTGTTAATATTTTTAAAAAGTGTACAAGACAACAAATCAGTATGGAATAGATTCCAGAAAAGACACAAACTGCACTTGTACAGAGCAGTAATCTCTGGACTACAGTGCTATTGTCTTGGTTTTTTGGTTTTTCTTTTTTTTTGTTTTGTTTTTGTTTGGTTTTTTTCCCTGATCCTATAAATCTTACACTTGCAAATATACCAAAATATTGGCTTCCAAATAATAAAGGAATGAGATTCATAAAATTGGGAGTGGTTTTCACTGTTAATGAGGCTTAAATATAGGCATGTCTAAATTTCATAATGTAGATCCAACAGCATCTTGTAGAGAACATAATTTTAGAAACTAAAGTCAAAAGAAAAATGCTAGCTATAATGAAATGCAAACACACTGTGATATTTGCTAATGCTGTCCCTCAAAAAATATTATATGCCTTTTGAAGTTAAAACTATCAGAAGAAAAATAGCCTAAAGATTGTAGACTTCTAAGCATATATGCCAGGGTCACTAACTATTCTTTTATTCACACACACATCATAATTCATTTAATGAAATATTTTTCAATTTCACACAGTGTTCTGATTTATATTCCAATAGTTTAAACTGATCATTATGTATCAGGCATACAGATTTCCTTCCCACAGCTAACACACCGGGCGCTCAGACTTGCCTGCTGGCTAACACTACTTATTTAGGAAAATGCTCCAGAGTAAATATTGTACCCACATTAAATGCTTTCCATATCAAGTTTTATTTACTTTGTAAGTGGAACAAGTAGCAAAACCTTCCTGCAAGCAACTGATGAAGGGATGCAACTGGGACATACTATCAGGAGAGCCAACTAGCAGTGATTGCTGAGGGTTTTAACTCAAAATAAACAACTACTTCCCTGAAAAACTGTGTATTCAAAAATCAGAACAGATTTTAAGCACAGCTAAATTTCAGTTAAGTTTATTTTAAACAACTTTTTACATATAATCTGTCCCCCTGTGAGACTCTCCTAATATTTTTTAGTAAATTGTAAATTTTATATTATGCTGTTTATCTCTGACCTCACTACTTAATCTCCCATCAGTTAAATATGAAACATTTACACGTGTATACATTCACAGCAGATGTAAATCTACAACTCCCACAAGTTAAGCACAGGTGAAAAAATATTTCAAGGAGATAAACAACACGATGAATTGTAATGAAAAGGAGTAAAAATAGTATTTGTAATAGATGAACAAGGAGGAAAGCAAAAAAAAAATCTAATAAAAACAAAGAATATTCCCTTATGCCAACACATCAATTAAACCATTCCAAAGCTAAAGAAAAGTCATGCTTTTCCTCATTTCAGGAAAAGTTAGGGAGGCAGGAGTTAATAGAAAAACCAAATAAATCTGAAAATAACATAATTAAATCCATTTATGTAATCTCCCTTTCAGGACTGATTGGCCAATGTGCATGTCTAACCATTCTTGCTATGAGTGGAATCATAATCTGAGGCCCAAAGGATGAAAAGATTCTGATGGCTTAGGCTACAGCACTTTGCGTATCAGACTTCTTCCACTGTTACCATGAAGACTTGGAATAATCATAGTGATTACTTGGGAATCTTAACTGTAGATTTGGCAGCAATTCAAAGCTATGCTGCAATTTCAAGTGGCAATAAACAGAAGATATTAACATGCATCATTTCCAGTGTCTGAAATAAAACCCTCCTCCCCTCAGTTTAGGTCTAATCAAAATTTAAACTCAAGACAAATTTGATCTTAATCAGCACTTTCTCTAAAACAAGGCAATCTTCTAACATATTACAATTGTGATATCTCTTTCAGCTTCAGCAACTGGTCTTAATTTTAACTGTAGGTTTTATTTTCCTTTCTGTTTTGCTAGTATTAAAAAAGGAAAAAATGAAAAGGCAAATATCCATGATGAATGAATTTTTAGATTCACAACATCTGACTTGCTACAGGAGATTTTTGCAGTAAATGGTGTGAGAGACACTATTTTTTAATTTTATAATCCTACATAAGTTTGGAAAGCAAGGCATCTCATATTCCTCAGCATTCTATACTGACCTCGAAGGAAGAAACTTCTTTTGGGCAGAGTAAGAAATCAAAATATAGAAACTTTTCATTTAAGCACACAGTAGACATGTGCTGGGAAGCCAAGCATGCCCAGGAAGAACCTAAACCTCCTCAGCCACCTGTAGTAAGCTGAACTCTGGACATAGAGGACTCAGTTATGGGGATATAATCCTAAAGAATGCTGGTCGCACTCCAGCAAAAACCTTAATGATATGAACTTACGAGTTCATTCCCACTGAGGTCAAATAATTTCATAGAACACTTCCAGGGATGGGTCATCAACAACTTCTCTGAACAACAGCTTTTCCAGCACCTCACCATCTTCACAGTAAAGAATTTCTTCCTAATACTTAAACTAAATCTACCCTCCTTCAGCTTAAAGCCATTAAGAACATGCAGTGCTAATGTCTAGATGAAGGTTCTTAGCTAACGTGGAGACAAGGCTGCTGGGCACAGGGTATCACCAAACTCCCGGTGACACCATCACATAAACCTGCATTCCCACATGTGTGTTGAAAGAAAATATTGTTTGTGCCAGTAAGGCCAATCTCAGGGCAGTATTCACAGAGATTCACAGCACTGCAGTCACACCCTCAACATTTTTCAGATTAAATAACTCATCTGTATTTCTT